AAGCCTTGGATTTTCATCAACAAGTCAGAGGTACATGTGTGAACCTGTCATCTGTCCTATAAGAATCTGGAGAAGAAAGACCAAGATGCAGTGTTCAGATCAGCAAAAGGATCACTTTAGCAAATCCTGTGGACAGGGACCAGTGACCTGCCTTTCTAGTCTTGCCCTTTGCCAAATCACCTTTTTTGAACGTGCGCACGCGTGTGTGTATGAATGAATTAATACCTATAATTTAGCAATATACCACATTGGTAACATCACTTTAATACTTTCTTTGGCCATTTTGCTTTTAACAAATATAAACAAACACTAAAAAGATTGGTTAAAAGATCTACAAAGTTTAGATGATGGTCTTTTATTCCCTTAATAGGCATTTCTACTTGAGATCACATTTGTTCTCTCCTTCACATATTACAAATTATAGAGATGCTAAGTTTGATACTCAAAAATTGTTCAAAGAATAAGGCAGCACAACTCCCTAATTCTAATTTATTTGAAAAAGTGATTGTGATCAGACTTCTTGAACTGCAGCAGTCCATATGTCGACGGTACTCTTACAATCCTGTCAGATTTGAGCTCCCCTTGTTCTCCCAAATGGTAGAAGTCCCAGCTATGGAAAGTAACTTTAAAGAAGAGTTGGATGCTACACCTCATCCTGAGGATGTCTAATGGTTGCCATATCGTGTAAGCTTTGACTGAAGTGCCAATTATCCCAGCTGCTTTGCAGTGGTAGCGTTGAGCTTCCCAAGTGTTGTTGGAACCGCATGCATCCAGACAAGTGGAGAGTACTACATACATCAGTTTCGTGTCTTACAAATGGTGGAAAAAAAATTGAGTCACTCATCACAGACCATCCAGCCTACAGTCTTCAAGCCATATTTATATGGTTAGTCCTGTTAAGTTTCTGGCGACCACTCTTCTTCCCTAGGATGCTAATAGTGGCAGATTCAATGCATAATAATGTTTTTGAATGACATGGGGAAGTGGTTAGATACTTTCCTGTTGGAGATTATCATTTCCTGGCATTTTACTGGTACAACTGTAACTTGTCACTTAGCAGTTCAAGCTTGAATATTGTCTGGGTCTTGCTGACAAGATGCCTCTGGACAACTTCGTTTTCTCAGCTTCGAACGGAACTGAACAGTGTGCAGTGTACAATCAGCAGTGCATATCCTCACCACTGACCAAGTGATGGACAGAAAGGCATTGATGAAACTGCTGAAAATGGCTAGGATGAGAAATTCTTACAGCAACGTTCCGAGATTGAGATGATTACCTTCCAATAATCACAATCAACTTACTTAAGCATTCAGTACAACTCCAGCCAGTTGAGAGGTTTTCCCTCAATTCTCATTGACCTCGGTTTTATAAAGGCTCTGTGATGCCCACACAGCCAAATGCTGCCTTAACGTCAATGGAATTTGCTCTCAAGTCATGTCTGGAATTCAGCAAACTTATCCACATTTGGTCCAAGGCTTGAGGGAGGTGTTGATAACTGATAGCTAAATGCCAGTATTGTAACTTCACTAGAACAGCTCATTTAGAGATCCAGCTGGTTCTGGAACACAAGTTTTCAGCACTATAACTGAGATCTTGTCAGAACTGTACTCTTTGCTTCCCAATGAGCACAGCCATTTTTTGACATTATGCTCCTTGTGATGGCAAGGACCTGAGGAGGCCATGGTGGATCATAAACTTGACACGCCTTGAAGTTGGTTCTACACAACAGACTTTTATACTCATTTGCTGGCCTCTACCTTCACTGAAAATGAGAATGTTTGAGAGAAATTCTTATGAGAGCTATTTATTTGTCCAATGCCATTCACAATGAGATATGGCAGGATTAAAGAGCTAACCTGATCCGTTAGTTGCAGCATTGCATTGCCAGTTATGATAACTTGTTTTTTTTATTTCCCTGCTGTTTATCATGCATGTGGTCTCATCAGGTTGAACATAATTCCTAGAGATCCCTGATGCCGCTTCTGTCATGCTTACTTTCACCACTTAGAATCAGGATTGGTAAGGCTTGATAGGAAAGGTAACTGAGGAATATGTTGGGCCACAGAGTTGCAAAATGCAGTGGAGTCCACTGCTGTTAATGGCCTAAAGTACTTTTGAGCTGCTCAAGCTCTTCTGAATCTACTATATTTAACATGGTGGTAAAGTACTACCAACATGAACAAGGATGACCTCAATGCGAAGACAATTTTTTATCTCTGCAATAGTAATCACAGACAGAGGCATCTCAGCAAGTAGACTGAAGAAGAGTAGAGGGTGAAATCAATAATTTTTTCCTTCTCTCCATACTTATTCTAAGTCAAGTCTGGTATCTATCTCCTAGAGGACTTGCCAGTTTGTTCAGTAATAGTGCTCCCACAGCATCCGCAGTTCTTTTGGTTTTTAATTGGGAGGTCATGTCCTATACAGCCGCAACATTGGTTAGGCCACTTTTGGAATACTGCGTGCAGTTTTCGTCTCCCTGCTATAGGAAGAACGTTGTGAAACTTGAAAGGATTCAGAAAAGATTTACGAGGATGTTGCCAGGGTTGGAGGGTTTGAGCCACAGGGAGAGGCTGATGGCAGCAACTCCCAGGCTGCATTCTATTCTCTTCCTGCTGTCAGTGCCTTCTCCAAGTACTGTTCAACATGGAAGAATACACATTCTCAATTGCAGTAGAGTCATAAAGACGTACAGCATGGAAACAGACCCTTCGGTCCAACTCATCCATGCCAACCAGAAATCCTAAATAAATCTAGTCCCATTTGCCAACATTTGGCCCATATCCATCTAAACTCTTCCTATTCATATACCCATCCAGATGCCTTTTAAGTATTGTAATTGTACCAGTCTTCACCACTTCCTGTGGCAGCTTATTCCATACACGTACCACTCTCTGCATGAACAAGTTGCCCCTTAGGTCCCTTTTAAATCGTTCTGCTCAGCTTAAACCTATGCCCTCTAATTTTGGACTTGCCCACCCCAGGGATAGGACCTTGTCTATTTACCTTATCTATGCCCCACATGATTTTATAAACCTCTATCAGGTCACCGCTCAGTCTCTGACATCCCAGGGAAAATAGTCCCAGCCTATTCAGCCTCTCCCTGTGGCTCAAACCCTCCAACCCTGGCAACATCCTCGTAAATCTTTTCTGAATCCTTTCAAGTTTCACAACATTCTTCCTATAGCAGGGAGACGAAAACTGCGTGCAGTATTCCAAAAGTGGCCTAACCAATGTCTTACACAGCCGCAACATAACCTCCCAACTAAAAACCAGAAGAACCGTGGATGCTGTAAATCAGGGACAAAAACAAAGTTCCTGGAAAAGCTCAGCAGGTCTGGCAGCATCTGTGAAGGAAAAAACAGTCAACATTTTGGGTCAAGTGACCCTTCCTCAGAACCAACTCTTATACTCAATGCGCTGACCAATAAAGCATGATAATCAGTAGCAGGTTTCCTTGACAATGTTTCACCTGATGCCAGAAGACTGTATCGGGTCCAGAGCCAGTATTACGTACTCACAGGGCCATTCAAACTGTATATTATAGTCTCAAAATTTGGGTGGGCCTGTTGGCTGATGGGAGAATACATACCCAGTAATGGTGGTGGCAGAGGCCGGGATGTTGGCTGCATGGTATGGTTCCGAGAATATGAACTGTCAGGTTGTTGGTTGATCATTCAGTGGAACAATTCTCCAAAATTTCACAATTCCCCAGGTTTTTGGGAATGGGACTTTACAGTGGCAACTTGGCTATGCATGTCTTTGTTGTGCCGAGTAAGGAAGGTTAATGGCCCACCCATTTTTAAGTAATGGCTTGATTAAAACAAGCAGTTTTCCACACTGTTTCAAAGTTCAGTTAAGAGTTAAGTATCTTGCTAGGAGTTACGTTATAGTCCAGACCAAGACAGAATGATAGACTTACTTCTCCAAAGAGCAGAACCAGATAGACATTTACATCAAGCTGGAGTTTCGTGGTCGTCATTACTCATTGCAGATTTTATTTCATTAATTGAATTAAATTAAATTCCTCAGTTTTCTTTGTGGGGTTTGAACTCTTCCCTCTAGATAATTATTCCTGACTCTGAATTACCAGCGAAGTAACAGTCTTTGGTCACAGCAACATGCTCAGGTTAAGCCTGGTGTAATAAAAATGAAACATGCTTGTTTTCACTTGATTAGTTATTAGATTAGTTGCTCATAAGTAGTCACAAAGGACTAAAACTAGTTACTACCAGCTACTTCTTCAACTAAAAGTAATTTACACATGTTCTGGTATCTGTAGCTGACTCCTGTAGAATAAAGGAGTTTAGGATCTAAAAATCTTTTGACCTAACAGTTATGGATTTTTTTTTTTTAATTAAGTACTGTGCTTAACAACAGTGTTCACAACAGGCTTATTGCTGAGTAAATCTTCAGGGGGAAAATCAAGATAATAGCTCAAGCCAGCATCACAAATGCTTTGAAGTGATTTCACCGGTACTTTCCTGCTTTTTGATTCGGAATGATGGCTTTTGGGAAAACCTAAATCTAAGTGTCTCTTCATTCATAACAAAACAGCATTTCTTTGATTCATTCACGTTTAGTTAAATAGATCTTTGATATATATGATACACAAAATGTGATACTTATGAAAATCATGATGCTAACGTGTTATAGACTTCAAAAGGAAATATTTACTACTCCCCCTACAGTCACTGAAGTTTTATTCCAATGTGCAGGGGGAAAGAGAACTAAAAATCTTAAAGTTGGTTTCACAAACCAAACCATACTTCTAAGTACTGCACACTAACAATTAAACGTAGTGATTTTAATGAGCTTAAGTTACAATTTCATTAGAAATGCATAATGTATAAATCAGGGTTGGCTGTTTAAAAAAAATGAAATTATATACAAATCTCTTTTGTTCAGGCAGGATATATTAGCAAAAGTTGCTCATAAAATTCTACTCAGTGAGGGTGACAATATTTCAACATTCACATTTTAGAAAAGTACAATTTCAATTCAATAATAAAGTAGAAAAAAGACAAACTACAGTGAAAGTTTAAAGCACAAAATGTCGCAATTTTTGAGGGAAATAACAAGGCAGAAGATAATTTTTTGTGATTATTAAAGCAGAGTAAGGTTTGCTATTTTAAATATACTGAAATATAATCATATAGCCCATTTCATCCCACAATTGTTTGACCAACATTTGCAATAAATTTGATTTTCTCTGCATATCAATTTAAAAACAAATAATTTGATCTGCTTTACACTGTGGTGGAAAATGGGAGCAAATAAATTTTACAAGTGATCTCATTAAAGCAAATGTTGTGCAAAAACAGAAAAAAAGTGTAGAAGTCAAGTGGGACTACAGTTAATCATAGACATATTTTGCCAGAAAGCTTCTATTGTCAATACTACCTTTCTCAGAATCACTGGTTCGCCACTTCTGTTCAGGAGACTCCTGAAACTCTAGGTCCACAGGAAAAGACATGAGGAACAGATGAGACAGTGTCAGGAACAAGAGAAAGTAGAAGCTAAAACAGCAGAACTCTAAGCACAACATTGCTGCCACAATTAGAACAAATAGGAAAATATTGTTTGAAAGGTTTACCACAGTTTTTTTGAATACTGAACTAAGATGTTTGAGCAGCCACATTAAACTGTTGAAATACTTTCTTCTGAAATCAAATTACCTAAAATGTTTTCTGCATTGTTGAATTATAACACAGTAGTATATTAAATTTTCATCAGGGGACTTTAAAATTATTTTCTCTAACATTCCAATTGAAATGACAGAGTATCAGATGGAAATAACCCAGTTAGTTACATTTGGTCCACATAAACCAGATTATATATGTATAAAAATATAAATCCTCATGTAGTCTACAGACAACACTTTCTTGATATTTTAACAAACTAGATGTGGCAAGTGGTTGTTGCATAAATCATATCAAATATTATACTTTGACATTACTTTGTCCTTAAGTCAAGGAATGGTAACACTGAAGAACAAAGAATTTTTTTACTCTAATCTTTTCATGTCTTCAAGTTCCCAGTCAGATGGGTTTCCAACATCTGCCTCAAAACAGTCTATGAATCCCAACCCTAGAAGATCTCACATTTTTCCATATTAACTATCCTGAACTTTTAACAGTTAGGCCATCAGGATGCTACAGAACAGCCCATTGAATTAAGTAGAGATCATTAGATGCATAGAATCTTTGTTTTCAAGATCGAATTAATTTTGATCAATCAGATGTACTGAAGGTTTGTGTTGCAGAAGTAACCTGTATGAATCCATTCAGTTTAAGAATATGCAAGTCAATCAAGTGCCCTTAATTCCGAGCATACATAAATGAGTTAAGCAAGACATCACCTGCCTCAAATTCCAGAGATTCTGCCTTCCAACCATGGAAGAGAACATTTGTCATTAACGCAAGGATTCTTTGAAGAACTAGCCAAGATACAACTCAACTAAAATTTCTTAAACTTATGACCAAATCTCTCAACTCACTGCAGGCATGGGAATTATTTTACAGTTACAGTAAGGATGCCATCACTAAATTCAGTTTCAAATTAATAACAGAAGTCAATTGGAGGACAGCATGATAAGATACTCAATGCAAATACCAGTTTACAACATGTACAAATTAATTAGTCCCAGAAGAGAGTCAGATTATCCATTGAACAGATCAGGGAATACTATTCTCAAGTTTTCCAAGCATTGTTTGTTAATACAGTTAATACACAACTATTATTCACAGCACAACAGCAGCAGAGAGTGTGAAAATGTAGCTCTCAACCCGTGTAATGAGCTCAAAGAAACTACTAATTCACTGTGCAATTCCTTCCTTGTCTTGATAACTCATTTTACTGTATACAAATTGACAGTGCTTCACACACCAATGAATGAAACACCCCAAACTTTTCAACTTTAAGAACAGTTGATTACACAAGTAGCATTTTGTGCCAAAATTTACATGATCTGCAAAGATGCCCATTCCCTAAATATGCAGCTCAATTTCAATAAAGGTGCAGTGCCCTCCACATACAGTCATAACATACTAGAAGCTGCTATAATGCTTTCCAACATTATTTGAACAGCAGGAATGAGTGACAGGATGATAACCGAATGATGAGGTATACCTAGTACTCCTGAGGTTTATGCTGTCTCCTTGTGAGAGCCTAGCCAGCATTTCATCTCCCCAGTGTACAGGACACCACATTCCTCCCTATCCAAAGCTCCAGACACACCTTTCAGGTGAAGCAGCGATTTATTTGCACTTCACTCAATCTAGTCTACTGTACTGACTGCTCACAATGTGGTCTCCACTACACCTGGGAGACGACATGCAGACTGGGCAATCGCTTTATGGAGCACCTCTATTCTGTCTATAAGCAGGTTCATTTTTCTAATTAATATATTTATGTTATTTCAATCAATCAATAAAACTATGAATACAGCCACTGCATCTTTTCGGAAGATGTTTAGTTTGTATTTTCAAAATGGAAAACAAAATTCATCAATGAAATCTCTTCGAAGGTCACAAAAAGTATTTCCCAGAAACATGATTTTCAGGTTTATCAACCATTCATAGCGAAATATTTTCAGCTACCATTAACACAATATAAGCATCGTACTACAGTTTTCCAACAACAATGCAATTTCCACACCCATACCTTCAGTAAAATACAGTTTATAATATCACAATTATCAACACAAAAATACTTCCAAAATGTTTCAGTATGTGTATTTATGAATCTTTTCCCTCAAACTCACCTTCTTTGTCTATGGCTGGGCCTCCAAGTGCAAAACCGGTTTCAGCAGCATGGTTCCCTTTCATTTTGCTTGGTCCATAGTACGGTGACTGATGAAGTTTCTTTTTGGTATCACATTCAGATATTAAGTGTGAACAACTGTGGAAATCAAAATATAGACCTTATTTACACAAGAACCACCCAAACTAGAACAAATTTTTTTGGACAACCAATCACTTTTTCTAAAATGGAAATATCTTGTTAAGTTTTAAAAACAATTTGGGGATAGAATGTTAATACAGAGTGATAAAAGCAAATTTTTAGCTGAAATGTTAGAATCATAGAGGGTACAGTGCAAGAGGCGGCCATTTGGCCAGTTTGCTTGGGCCAGTTCTAATCCGAAGCCTTCAATGGTCATACACTTTAAATTTACCCAAGAGACAATTATGGCCAACTATATAGGTTTTAAACTGTACCTGGTTCAGTATTACAAACAATTCAGCCACATTTTTGTTAACAAAGAATAAGAAGCTTATTAGAAATAAAAAGTATCCAAACATGCATGCAAAGAATTTTGACAAAAAGTTTAAATACAGAAACATAGAGAAAACCCAAAAAACATTAAATCAGGTAAATATCAGTAACAGACATTAGCTGAACACCACAACGAACATATTAAACAGCAAATATGACCAAAAGGACCCTGGGGATTTCTCACCAAAACCCCTCCTCAAGATGTTCGTGACATTGTGGGCCAACAAATCTTAGCAAAAAATTCTGAGAGACTTTTGATGACCCAGCTTTGAAACTCCCTCAAAAATCACTGTTAGCTTAACGGTTGGTCACATTCTGGTTGTCCGTCCTTCCTTTTCTGGGTTTAGACTCCACTCAATTCCTGGAAACTGCACCCCAGTAATTCAGTACAGATACAACTTCAGATTTTGAATAACGGCGAGATTCACCAAGCCAGTACATAACCTAGGATTTCCTTGCACCCCCACCTCAAGCTCTAATCTTGTTCTGTTGCACAAAGCAAATACAGCTTCTGGGTTTTCCAATCCTAAATCTCACTTATTAATTATGCACCAGTTTCCTTCAAACATATCACACCTCCTACGACTTCTCAGAGCCCGCATTATACAGTTATTCAACTGCTCTAGAACTTTTTAGAGGTCTAAAGTCCCACCTGCATAGATAACTGAACTGTGCAGGTTCTAACTATTAATTGTGTGTAGCCTTCTTTCATGCACTCCACACCTCCACGACATTTCCAAGCCATCCCTTCATAGTTATTCAACTGTTTAAGACTTCCAAGCCCAAACTACACTGAAACCAGATATTTCAATTGTTTCTATCAGAACAGCCCTTCCTAAAACAGAGTATACTTCTCCTTCTCTTTCTCTTTCTCTCTCACACTGACTTCCAGAGTTCTTACTTGTCATCTTTGAACTTCTCTTCAGTGACCCCCAAAACTGTCCTGAGAAACTTACTTAGAATATTGCAACAGGCTTGTCCTTACTGCTAGGCAGAATTGAAAGTAACTAACATTTTGGCAAGGACAAATGTAGCACCCATCAAACTGTCTGTACCCCAAAATATTACAATGTTGACCAAATACTAGCCTCAGCATTACAAACTGATGAAATTAAAAGAGAATTCATCATGCAGCTCCTTAAAAGATCACTCAAGTTATTCACGTTATAATGTAAATAGATATATTTCCCCACAGTTCTGCAACAACTTCCCCTTCTAAGCAATATATGATGCCCTTTTGAAAATTACTGAATTTGTTTCAACAGTCCATTCCATATAATAACTTGCTGTATTAAAACATACTCCCTTCGTGTTAGTTCTGGTTCTTTTGGAGGTTACTTTAGGTTCACCTTAAAAATAACCCTTTGACCAGAGTATTTTTATGGTGAACCTTCTTTACTGAAATCTTAACACTTACTCCAAACGAACCCTCATCAGAGCTCTTTTTAAACTGAAGCACAGCTTTCCCTGTTTTTGCATTCATTCCACCTTGAGTTAAAGGCCCAAGTTCCATTTTTTTTTGATTACTTTTATACTAACATAATGATTAGACTATTTGATCATTCACATTCCCTTGTTCCTCCATGGCTCCCATTCTCACCATTAAGAAAATATTGAAATTAATTTTTCTTGGATCCAAAAGATGATAAACTCATACTGAATTCCATAAACTTTTCCATTCATTTTATGGAGGATTGTTGGCTTAAAATAATCATAACCTGGCTTATTTTCTCCCACACTAACAACCAGAAGATGGAGATCAACTGTAGTACATAAATGCTGTCCAGGGGAAGATAAGCTAAATTGAGCGTGGATCAAAAATGGAACAAACTGTTTTATGATCCAGTCTTATATTGAGGCATACAGACTGTCCCATTATAGGGCAGCCCCAAAATACATTAATAATATAGTTGCCATGCCACCTCTAAACCTGAATAAAAGTAATGGAACAGTAAAATCCGTACGCATGGTGTCCATTCATCATTGCATGATCTTCAGCTGTCCATCCTTTATCTTCTTTTAAAGAAACATCTGCATCATAATGTAGAAGTAACTTAACCAAACTAATTTGTCCATTACTCGCAGCAATCATCAAGGCAGTTCTAGAAAGAATAGGATACAAAAGTCTTATGGTTAGTGATTCCAATACATGATATATCAGTGAAACACACTCCTCGCTATTATTGCTGCCGTGAACAAATAATTGACTTATTTTATTCTCAAGATTGAGCTGTTAAACATTTAAAAATGTACAATTTCTTGATGCATAACCAATAATTCAACTTGAATTATGCGGCAAGTCTACACACTGATTTCTTCCCACTTGGCTGTAAACAATCTAAGGAACTTGCCCCTTTGATGCGAGACTGACATCAGTGCTAGCTCAATCTAATTTTAAAATCAGTTTTTTTTCTTCACATTTTTATTTGGCATCATGGAACAGGACACAAAAGGCTAGCAACAACATTTCAATTTGGCAACAGTTTAACTCCCCACAATTTTTGGATTTATCCATTTGGCATTCTTGATAAAAATAAAATTCTACTGATAGAGTTAGCATGTTGTTGTAAATACTGAGCTTAATTATAAAATAACATAGTTACATAGAAACTAAGAGCTGAAGTACGCTATTCAGCCCTTCATGCTTGCTCTGCCATTTGATATGATCATGGCTGAACCTCTAACTTAAGATCATATTCCCATTTTCTCCCCCTACTCCTGATAGATTTAAAATCTAAGATATAGATGAAAAGCTAAAGGGTTAAAATAAAGATTAAAATATGCCTTCACAGAGTTGCTGCTGCCAAAACTGCATTAAAAATGTCACTAAGGGGTCAGGATCCTGGGCATCCAGAGGCAAGGACATAAACCTGTAAAGTTCAACACTTTACTCTTGGTGAAATGAAGATACTGCATTGAAAGTAGATACCAGAAGTTAAAATTTCCTCTTAGTCTTTGATGCTATGCACAATATTAAAATTACAAGCTTGAAAAGGTAATTGTTCTTAATGAATGGCATTAAATGCATATTCTAAGAAAATAAAGATAAACTGGTTGAACAATCAGATTCAATTTAGCAATGGAATGTTAACCAATAATTTTCCACATTCTCACACGGATATGGGTTCTTGTTGCTGGCAACCACAAAGTAAAGTATAGCAACAGAGATCTTCAGTACTGTGTTAATTCAAAGATTCCATGAAGAAAAATGCAGTGAGGAAAAAGGTACGCAAATTTCACACATACAAACCCTTATGTTGTAACTTATGATTTAATGTAAACTGTACCTCCCAGTTTTGTCCTTGGCATTGACATCTGCACCTTCCTTAAGCAAGAGTTCTACTATTTCTTGATGATTTTCAATAACAGCCAACACCAAAGGTGTGTAACCATCCTTTAAGAAAGAAAACATGTTCAAATAATTTAAATACCACAGGCAGAGTAATTAGCAATTCCACTGCCAATGATTAGGTTAAGTAATAGCTACACATGACTAAAATGTTAACTGTCTAAACATTTGGAGATCACTTTTAAAGAGTGTGCAGATTTGAAAATGTCCTAGTTTTTATCCTATAACTTCACAATATAGGGGCATTTATAATTTCAAAAAACTTTCTGAAAAACTTGTATCTTGCCCAAACCAATTAGAAATATATTTTTATTCATTCTTGGCATAGAGGTGTCATGGTAACCATCGTATTGACCTTTACCCGAGGTTCCTATCATTACAGAAGTTTCTGCTGATAATATGCAGAGCAGAATGCAGTGGATAACAGAAAGGGTTTGGAACCCAACTTTAGATGTAGCACCGGTGATTTGAGTTCCAAAACTAGCTACTATCATAGACAACATACAGCTACAACACCAGAACCCACCTGATCAAATGGTTAGTTGCCCAGTTTTTCCTGTCTGCAAAAAAGCAGAGAAACAAAAAGAGGGTCTTATGTTGTAGTGGTACTGTTCCTAAACAGTACCAGGACAGAAGATCCAGGTTCAGATCCCACCTCAGGATGTGATGGCCATGGAGGACATGATTAAAGAAAAGGAAAAATCCAATTTTATCCAATTGCCTCTCCAAGAGTGTGCAGAGTGTGCAAGGCATGGATGGAGTTGTCGAGGGTGCTACCACCTAAATCACTAATAGGCTGCTCACTGGTGTTTGATTCGAATTACTTAAAGATAATCCAGCTCCAGCCTTCATGATGGCATTGGTCTAAATATGAATAAAAGAACTGAATTCAAACAATGTGGTGCAAGTGACTTTGATATCAAGATGGCACTTGTGGGTCTTCAGATGGCTGAAAAGGCCAATCCGAGATCCATAGATTCTTTTGCTGTGTGGGCATTTGTAGGTGGTAATGGTCGTTGGAAGTGGGCCTTCCTGATGTTCTGTCTGTCCTTGCACAAAATTGGCTTCCATTCAGGGGCAGAGCGGAGATCGCTTTCATGGCATATAGCTTCCTGTTCCCTGATGTTTCTTCAGTGATTCCAATCCAGTGAGCCATGTCCTCCCAGTTGTTGATGTTGATAATGTTATCTTTGAAGTGTTTCTTTTGGCCACCGGGGGCCCAGTGACCATCTTTCAGCTGAGAGGACAATGATCTGTTTTGGAAAGCATGAATTGGGCATTCAGATGACATGACCAGTCCAGAGTTGCTGTTGAATTATGGTGGTGGTGATAGTGGCTACGTTGGCCTCCAAGGCACTGGTGTAAGCACACGTGTCTTCCCAGGTGATCCACGAGACTTTTTGTCAGGATCCCTGGTGGTCTTGTTCCAGTGTTTTAAGTTGCCTACTGTACGTAGTCCATGTTTCAGCTCCATATAGCAGTGTGGGAAGGACAACAGCTTTGGAGATGGGAAGTTTAGTCTGGGCCTGTAGGTCATTATCTTCAAACACTCTTGAGTCAGAAATCACACTAACACCTGAAGAAGGACTGAGGCTCTGAAAGCTTGTGTTTTCAAATAAATCCGCTGGACTATAACCTGGTGTCGTGTGATTTCTGACCTTGTCCACCCCCCTAGTCCAACACGGTCACATCCACACCTTCTGAGATGGGCATAGACTCCACTAGCACAGCTCAAATGACGCTGTATTTCTGCAACGTTGGAGGAGAGGAGAGAAGGCTTCCAAGGTATGGGAAGTAACCCATATTTTCAATGGTATACTGTTGACCTTTCATTGTAGAAGAGGTGCAGGGACTGTTAAGTGGTGGTTTTTTATGCTAACAACAAGGCCTAGCAGATTATATGCCTTGACAAAGCCATCCAAGATGCAGTGCAGATCCTCTGCAGAGTGTGCTGCAATGGTGTTCAGTGACTGGTAGAATGACATCAGCTGAAAGAAGGGCCTATGCCAAAGCTTTGGCTGATGTCTAGAAGGTAAACAAAAGCAAATGATGGACTGATAAGGCTTTGGAAATCCAGCAACTGGCAGATGCTGGTGACACAAGAGGCTTCTTCAATATATGGTCCAAGCTACTGTGGTCTAAACCCTGTGTTCTGGAGACGGACAAAAACTGCTGAAGGACTAGGCAGTAAACAACTTATGGAGACAGCATTTCCAAGAACTCCTCAACTGTAATACCAATGTTAAGTTGGAAATCAAACAAATCCCCCACAGATCCATGCAAAGTGACATAGGAGAACCTTCCAGTGCGACCAAAATACAAGATACCATAAGGAACTTGAGAAACTACAAGGTTGCTGGTCCTGAAGGGATTCCTGTAAAGATCCTAAAGGATGGTGGCTGACAGCTCCATGAACACATATATGCTTTGCTCTTGAAGATTTGGCTCAAAGAAGAACACCCCTCGGAGCGCAGGGATGCTCCGATTATGATCATATTCTAAAGGGTGACAAGACTGACCGTGGGAATTACAGAGGCATGCCCCTACTGTCAATAATCAAAATACTAGCTCGTGTCTTTGCCAACAGACTTCTGTCGTTATAGGAGGAAATGTTCTCTGAATCAGCGTGGCTTCCAGCCGTTCAGAGGAACAGACAATCTACACAGCACGTCATGTCAGGAACAGAAACCACTGCTTTTCACAGCCTTCATCGACTTAACTAAAGCCTTTGACACAGTTAAGCGCTAGGCTCTCTGGCGGATACTGTCACTATATGGCTGCTCTGATAAGTTCATTAGGATGTTGAGGCTGCTGCATGACGACATGTCTGCGACAGTGCTTAGCAACTGTGAATTGGTGTCTAAGCCTTACACTGTGGAGAAAGGGATCAAGCATGGCTGCATCATTGCACCCACCTTGTTCACCATCTTCATTGCCACCATTCTCCATCTCACTGGACAAAACCTGCCCAAGGGAATTCAAATCATTTACCATATGGGCAGCAGGCTGTTCAATGTTAACAGAGTTAAGGCCAAGGGCAAGGTCTCCACCACCTCTACCTTGGAGCTTCAATAAGAGAGACAGAAACTGTGCAACACCATAAAAGCTCAACTTTTCAGCAGGTGGCATGGTGACTCAGTGGTTAGCGCTGCAGCCTCACAGCACCAGGAACCTGGGTTCGATTCCACTCTTGGGTGACTGTCTGTGTGGAGTTTGCACATTCTCCCCACATCTGCATGGGTTTCCTCTGGGTGCTCCGGCTTCCTTCCACAGTCCAAAGATGTGCAGGCTAGGTGGATTGGCCATGCTAAATCGGCCACGGTGTTCAGGGATGTTTAAATTGCAGGGGATGGGTCTGGGTGGGTTGCTCCGAGGGTCAGTGTGGACTTGTTGGGCCGACGGGCCTGTTTTCACACTGTAGGGATTCTATGAACTTCTATTCCAGAAAAAGTAATTCATTGTTGTGGATTGATGAGACAGTGACATTGTATTATTAATGCACTACAAATCTATTACAAAGCTGACATCATGAAAATAACACACAAGAATTTTTTGTCAAGCCTACAGCATACTAAGATATCCATGTGGCATCAAGGTTCATTAAAATTTACCAGATTATCAATTCAAATATCTAAACACCAACATGAATTTTCGCTTGGAACACATATCACACCATAATATTATGCATTTTGTTTACGAAGGCTGCGTTAATTTGGGAAGTATTTTTCTTGTATACAACAAAAGATTCACATTGGTCTCTGTGTAGGTAAGAAATTGATTAATTCTAGACAACAGGTTTAGCAATACAAAAATGTGAGTGAGATGGGAATGAATGGAGTCTTAAAAGCTGACTCTTTACACCATAGAAATCAAGACAAAAAGATCAGTCACAGAATACCACTTGAAACCATTCAGGTGGAAGTATAACCAAAGGAACATGAACTAGGAAACAAGACAGCTGAGAGAGTGTATCAGATTTCATCAAATCAGGATAAAACATTCCAGGTCTTCAAAAAAAGGTTATGCGCAAACCAAATTAATTTACATGGAAAAATTGATCCCAAAAACAATTACAGATTGCTGAAAGTATACACACAGCTATTTGCAGATCCATTGTTACAATTCTATTACAGATTTCTACTATAATCTGCTGCACAAGGCACTGCTTCCTTTTAATGAGGATAAATTTCCACAATGATCATCTTGGGGGGTAGAAAGTAACAACGCATTCATCTTAATACAGCCATTTTTGACCAAAATAAACAGAGCACATTTGTCACCAGTCCTGGGGTGAGGATCCCCAAGGTTTTTTCATTCTAGGTGGCCTATCCCAAATTGGCATCTACTTTATTTACCTGCTCCCTCAGTTGGCCACAACAATGTTAATTTAGAAAGAATTCCGTTCTGTGCAGATACCTTTCTCTGAGACTAACAGAATTATTAAAGGAGATGACTTAACCAGGTTTTCTTGGGCTAACATAAAAGAGTTTATTAGTTAATAACACATGCACACAAATTATAAATGAGGGATGAGTCAAGAAAAGATAAAAGTTAACATAGATTAATGGATTGGTCTCTCAGTTCTGTGGAGTGTTGATGATGGGACATTCTGGTCGTCGCATTGGATGAAATTGGCAACAGTGATGCTGGTAGCAGAGTAGTTGATTTGAGATGCTTGGTTTTGCAGGTCAGCTGAAAGGCCTTGTTCCATTTCCTTTTGGCTGTGGTTTCAAATGCATTTTGGCTTTCTGCAAAGAGGACTGTCCTTTCTCTTTACTTGTAGCTCAGAGATGGTTAGGGTTTTCTCAGCTGAGACCCTCGTAGCACACATTGTTGCCCACTAGCGTGCATGGACAGGGTTAAAACTGAATTTAAATCTTGTCAGTGTATTCTTAAAAGAGGAAAACAAGAACATTTGTCTTGCTCATACCTTTCTTTTCTCCTATCATATTCAAGGGTCTGAGATAACTCAAGAGTTACTTCACTCTAACACATTTCTCTCTTCAAAATCCTTCTCTTTGAACCTTCCTTAACACCTGTCAGGTGCGACATTCCAGGGTTTCATTTGAGGCTAAGGATAATTTCAAAAGGCTTTCCATAAGTCAGTGAATTATATTGTTCAGAATTTACATTACTAATCATTTGTTTGACTGTATGTCTCCTTTTTTATGAAAGATGCACTGTAGAATAAGAGTTCAATATATTTGTACACGTTACTGGATTATGTTCTGCAGTCATGAACCTTAGGACACTTTAATGGCAACTTTGAAATGAACATTTCAAACAAATAAATAGTGGGTATTGCTTTTTGTATAACTGACAGCCCATTTTAAATTTAAACTTTATTAAAATGATCTAAACTGTACTGTGATTGGAGTTGAAATTAACATAGTGGGTCAAGATCAAAACAGATTGAGCGGTTGATTGCATCTTTTTACTAACGGAGGCCAAATCTAGGCTACATCTTGAGGCAGGGCCAGAAAAGATGTTGGCCTGGAACTTGTGGATTTTTAATGAAAGATTGTTAGCATTTGCCATCATTACATCTATGAATCTGTCAGCAACTTCAGGCTTTAAACACAAATATTAACATGGATAGCTTTAAACTGCAGCCAGCATTCAGTACTCTGCCTCAGAATATGCAATGGATACCACATGCCCCAGAACTGGAAATTATAAATCAATGCAGTAAATTTCCCTTTCCATATTTCTACAAGAGGCTGCCATGTACAATGAGCACTCATTCTGTGATTTCCTGCCCTAAAGCTGGTCCAACTTATAGTATCACAATCTCCACAAGGGAAGGTCAAGGACACAGGTCCTGAAATCACCCAAACTAGAAGGGGAAATCAAACTCTATTCTGTTGGCTCCCAACTTATGCTCATCACCCGACAACTAAGGAGTCAGCTGTTACGCAACATGCACATTTACATCCATGTTGTAGCCTGGAGTATGGCTAGTGATGATTAAGGTTCCAATTTCTTTCCATTACTTGGCTAATCTAAAATCTCTCCCACTCCCACTGTTGGGCAATGTTAAATGTTGGAACAATTCACATGTCAATACTCAACCTGTTTGCTGCACCATGAATATGCCTTTTTCGGCCATAGTCTCAGAGCAGGACTTGAACGTAGAGCTTCTGGTCCAGAGGCAGGGACTCCTGCCACTATGTCACAAGTTCACAATGAGGTGAAACTGGGTTTTAACAGCCGGAAATTATCTCCATTTATTAATTTGCTACTAGCAATGTTAATGTTCAGATCACTGTTACAAGTGCGATTCAAGCTTAGCATATTCTAAGCATCCGTAATAAGATAACCGATTTATATTAATATACATAAGTTTTAAGAATAGTTTGATTTGGAGTAAATATCTTAAACACTTCAGGTTCAATAGGCAAGTTACACTACCTAAGTGCTGTATCAGGTCTTTAATGTTTGCATCAGCAAGCATAAAATTATTTACAACAAATCGCATGTTCTATATCATAACGTACCCAAGAAAGTAAGACAATTTTACACAACACAAAGATGCTAATGATAACAAGTGAATAAACACAAGTGTAAGTACCTTATTTCGAGCATTCATGTGCGCTTCTCGCTCAATCAAATGCATTATCAAAGAGGTGTTGGGGATCAGAGCAGCAAGATGCAGGGCAGTATTTCCATTAATGTCAACCAGGTTAGGATCAGCATTATGGTCCAGTAAGATGACTGCACAACGTTCTTGTTGGCACTGTACTGCCTGCGGATGATATATCAAAAAGTTTGTATTGTAATAATTTTCACAGTCGGATACTTGAAGCATAAAGTTCATTTATATCATACAAGACCAAAACTGGATTAAAATTTCATTTAGTTTGCCAACAAGTCACTACTAATGAAAGTTCTATGAAATGCGATACATAATTGATGCACCATATATACATTCATTGAAAGCCCATTCGTGGAACTCTCAGCATTTTATGGGTGACTCTGTGCTAGGTATCCACGATGTAAAACGGTGCCGCAATACACATCCACAATCACTGACATTTCATGCTGAGTCTATATTGCCCTACGACTACTGAATTGTCATGTCTACCTTTTAAGTTTTTTCTTAGAGGTTTTAGTTACTCCAAAAACTTTGAACTTCAGTTTGATATTTTAGGCAAAGCCGTGGCCGAGAGTTCCGACACAGGTTGTACCAATGAATTAAACTGGTAGCTTTATCCTGCTGCATTTCCTAACACTACCTGTTAGTTTTTTTTCCAAATGAAGTATATCACACAGGTAAGCGTGCAATATAAGTTTCAGTGAGTGTGCGATACTAAGTAGGCCATACATCCCAAAGACTGGCGAATGTATCAAGCTGCTCAGTCCTTTAGCTATTCACAACAAAAAGGATACTGGCCCACACTCAACCAGCTCATGCTTAAAAAATTTTCAATATCATGTCCAACATTAGATGTGACCTTGTAATTAGACAGAATCTAAATAATCAATGATAATTCAGTTAGGACTGTCTGCCCTGTGGAGCTCTTGCATTTTTGAAAATTAAAGAAGTGAATACACAAAAGCCTGATAAAGAATATGCGCATATACAGTCTGTTTCAACAATGCAAAATTGGTGCCAGTCGTTCTTTGGTTTGCTTCTCAAGGTACTCCTTGAACACTGAAAGCCAGCATGCTTGATTTAAAATTTAAACATAGCCTGGTGTGAGGACTGAAGAATATTTGGTTCATAAATGGTGACGAAAGTGGGGCAGGGAAGTGAGAAACCACTTTAGAAGACTTTTTTTTTGATGTTCTGTGGAAGAAGTGGGATCACAACAAACTCCAAACTCAATTTTGGAAGGGAAAAGGAAGATAGAATGAAAAGAACAAAAAAACAGTACAGAATACATCTGTTTCTAAATCCAACAAGTTATTGCATAACAGATTGCCTGTTCGCTATCCTACAAGACAGAATTCGGCTGCTCCACATTGACACTTGGTGACTAGAGCATACATAAATGCAGGTTTAACCTTGATGACCATCAGCTATTTTAACAGCTGAAGTTTTCCATCTAAACACTGAAAATCTGTATTATGGTGCCAGCAAGCTATGTAACTTGTGGTTCAACCAAGTGTTGACACAGTCCAACAGAAAAGCGTACAAGTAAAACGTGACGCACCCTTCATTTATAATCGAAAGCAGATGCACGGAATTTAGTCAATGCAGTATCATATTTATTTCTTACCTTCATCAAAGGGGAACGGTTATCATTGTCACAGATATTTAGTTTTGACTTGTGTTCCACAAGGAAAGTAACTGCCTCTACTTGCCCACTTGCACATGCAAGATGCAATGGTGCCCTGGAAGGAAAGTGGATGAAGACTAATCTATTAATCCCAAACAGAACACTGCTGTGACACTGATACAATCTTCATAAAACATTCTAATATAGTAATGTTTTTTTTCAAATAATTCATCTTTTTCAAAGCAACATTGATCAACTCATTTTCTGAGGTTATAGAATTATAGTTTGTTACAACACAAACAGCCATTTGGCCCATCAAGCTTTTATGGCATATTTCTCCAAATATCAACTAATCTAAATACCTGTAGTACTTTCCTAGTTGTTTAATATTCATGAACACCAAACAACCGTTTAATTCTCCTTTATAACAATACAGTAATAAACTCTGCATCAACAACTACTTATCAATGAAAATGCTACTCAGTACTAACAGCATTTTTCCACCTCCACATAAATTATTTTTCTAATCATAAAATTTTACCCACTTAACCATTAGTCACAAACCACCTTTATGCTGCCACAATCTTTCATGGAGGCCTCTATCTGGTTACTACCTATAAAGTGTGATGCTTCACCTTATAATTAATACAGTTTCCTTGAAAATATCTGCATCTTTGAAACAATATTTTCAAGTGAAAGGATCAAAATTAATGGCAATATTAGAATATTTTAAAACATTAATGGCAATATTTCTTGGGGATCCCCGATTTACAGATGTTCCACTTACAAATGCTTGGATTTATGATCACAATCCCACACAGGGGTGTAATTTTAAAGATCCAACAGAGGAATGTTTCCTGTACTTACAAATGGCTATTTTGTATTGTCCCACATATGTTTCAACTTGAGTGCAAATTCAACAACAAAACCAATTTGCAACCCAGGATTGCTTGCTGTTAACATTTTCACAAAAGAGAATACTTTTGATCTATCTAGCCAACCTGTCCTCTATTCATTTTTTTAATAATCCTGAACATCAATTGTTGTGAAAAAAACCACACTACAGTAACAGAGTTTATGTGGAAGCTTGATGCCTGCAAATCAAACTATACAAGGTCTGAACTAATAATCTAAAGACACAAGTTCAGATTCCAACATGGCAATTTGTAAATTTCAACTCTGTTTCGAAAAATTGAAAATCTGAAATAAAAAGCCAATAACTGTCATGGTATGACAAAGTAATTAGACTATCAACCAAAATTTCATACTCCAACACAATATTGTCTGCCCCACTAAAGAACTGGTTAATAGCACAGTGGAAAGGTGGTGATCCTGCGAGTCAATTGCTCCAGTGTTCAAAGTTTCACTGCATCAGGATAAACACCGGCCAATAAAACCTCCACCCATTACCACCTTCTGCTCTCACCTGATGATGACCCAGTAGTTCATGTTAAACAGCACTTGTAAGAAGCAAAAATGAATGAGCATTTTGGATCCAAAAGCTACAGTCTCTCGGGATCATGAAGTATGCGAGCTGGGTTGCAGTGACAGCATCAGCAATGGTGAGTGAGCCCAGCATGGACTTGTGGCAGGGCGGAAGCAGGTTTGGTTCCAAGCAGCATCTGCGTCCAGCTCAGACTCACGAAGATGGAGATGAGTTTTGGGCCCAGTAGAAGACCAGGCAACATCAACAAGGTGGGCCAAAAGCTGAGTCATAGCAGCAGAATCAAGTTTGGGCTGATGTAGTACTGGGCAGCATCAGTGGTGTCTACATTGGCGAGGTCCACAGAGGACTCAGTGCTGAGGGCGTTGGAGGTGGCGAGATGGCACTGAAGATTGGCGACTTTTGTTCCAGCGACAGTGGTGCGGCAAAAGGGACTCATGCCTGACCACCAGGCCCACGTAGAGCTCTTTACAAAGAAGGACTGTAATGTTCAACACTTTTTATTTCTTTATTTTTCTTCCCTTATATTCTAGATTTTGGATTTTTTTTGTTTTAATATGGCACCAGAGAATCGTGACACTATACAACAATTTTCACCATATTTTGTAACAAGATACATGCGACAATAAATAAATCAAATAAATCAACATGATTATTGCGTGAGTAGTTAGTACTTTAATGGATTTTTCTTTTATTCATTTGTGGGATTTGGGCATCACTGATCAGGTGAGTGTTTATTGCCCTGGAGAGGATACTGGTGAACTGCCATGTTGTACCACTGCAGGCACTAGCATAAAGGGACAGCCATAATGGTTTTAGAAAGAGTTTCACAATTCTGATCCACTGACAGTGGTGGAATTGCAATATAATTGCAAGTCAGGAAGGCTTTAAGGGGAGCTTTCCGGTGGTAGTGTTCCTACGCATCTGCTGCACTTGTGTTTATGGTCGCAGGCTTGGAAGATTCTATCGAAGCAGCCTTCTATTACTGCAGTGCATCCTGTAGACGATACAGAATGCTTCTACTGTAGGTACTGAAGGAAGTTCAAGGTTGTGGATAGTGTCAACCTACTTAGGTCGTTCTTTAACTGCGCCCATCCAAGCAAATGGAGTGTATTCTAGCATATTCCTGGCTTATACCTCATATATAGACAAACAAACATCGGGGGAAAAGGCGATGAAATACCACAGAAATCCCAGCTTCTGACCAGCTGTTATAGCCATGATATTTAAATGGTTTGTTGATGTCAACAGTAGGGGAATTCTGCAAAAGGAATGCCAACAAATCTTAGATTCTCTCCTTTTTCGGAGATAGTTGTTGCTTGATTATTTATGTGGTGTGAATCTTACTTGTCACTTACCAGCTGGACATTGTCCAGGTCTGGCTGCATACATACAAGATCTTCTCCAGCTTTTATGGAGTGGCACATTGTGCTGAGCTTTGGACAGTTTCTGAGTTTATGATGGATGGAGCAGCTGGGGATGACTGGGCCTCGGACAACTCTGCTGTGGTGTCCTGGTTCTCAGATGACTGACTTTGAACAACCACAACTATTTTCCTTTGTGTTATATAGGATTCCAATAACTCTAGTTTTGCTTGGGTTCCTAATACCATATTCAAATGCTGCCTTGACGTCAAGGGCAGTCATTTTTACCTGGTCTGTGGAGTCCACCTCTTTTGTCTGTGTATATGAAATAAACCTGTTGGACTATAACATGTTGTCATGTAATTTTTGACCTAGGCCAAGGCTTAACTGACATCATGAGATACACTCAGCTCAATATACAAGTTTAAATTTAAACTTAATCAAGAAACTCTTGTAAATCGCAATGTAGTTTAGCTGATACTATGTACCATGTAATGGACCAACTCTGTTTATCAATACCAAGCCTCTGTTCCACCAAAGACTTTATATTGCTACTTTTCCCCCCCAAGGGATGTAAACTGATACTAATTTGAAGCACACTGGCAGTATATGTTCGCAAAGCATCTCAGACAGCACCAGACAAGACTACAACATACACCAATCATAGCAATATTTTTTGATATTATTTCAAGTCTGGATACCTCAGGGATCATTTGAAATGAAACATTCCCCTAACCTTATTAATGGAGACCAAACTCACTGGACCAAATGCAGTTTCATGGGTCACCTTTGCTGTCCTTTTGACAAAGAAAATAGGAATAAGATCGGTCTTTCTCCACTGGTCAATTCTGTCCACCATAGTGTCAGTTCTTTGTTTAAAAAAAACATTTAAGATCACAGCACTTTGAGAAGTCAAAATAAAGCAAGCAACATTAGTGGAAACAGAACCAGATTGGGTCTGCAGCAGCATATGAACCACAAGTTATATCTTAGTAAAATGTCTATTTCAAGGATTAAATGATTGTATTATGAGAACAAAACATCAAGATATTAGCATTGCAAACGCTGGAAATCTGAAAAAAAATTTAAAAATGCTGGCAATACACAGGTAACATTAGTGGAGGCGTATTTTAAGCCAATTACCTTTCTGATGAAAGGTTATCAGCATACAATTTTAGTCGTTTCTCTCTCCACAGATGCTGCCTGATCAAGTGGGTTTTAACAAAATGTTGTTTTTATTTCTGAAGGTGTTTTATGGCACAAATGCTAGGTATCTCCTTACCTGTTTTCTTTATCCAGTTGATTTACATCATTTTTCTTAATGAGTTGTCGAAGCTTAGTTAAGTCTCCGGTAGAAGCGGCTTTATGCAGCTTTCCCAAATCCTTCTCCCTCAGCTCATATCCTACTGATGCCACACTCGCAGTGTCTGAGGTGTTGGGCGAAAATTTTCTCTTTTTCTTTGCAAAACGGAGTATTTTCTTCATTTTTTTAATGACAATTGCTCAAGTCGTATTGTTGCCAAATAAAAGCGTGGGTACATCACTCAACTCTTGTCAGTTAACACCCCAGTCACAACGCAGGGGACGTCTTTCTCCCATCCTCCCCCAAAACAAAACATTGCAGTGGATTAGGCGCTACGCGGTAAACTGGCTTTAAGGAGATAACAAAACGAGGCGATTCCTCCGAGACTGGATTAGGTGAGACGACTTTATCCGTTTGCTGCCAGCGTTGCAAGATTTACAGCAGGTTGATGCGGCTTGTCCTCACAAGAACAGATCCCTTCCTCCGCGGTTTTCAATTCATAATAAATAGTGATGATACATACAGCTGCTCTGAGAGGGGCGGCCTAGGGAAAGGGGTCTATTTAACAGGCGGGGGAATGGCATCGACCGCTTCCTATTTTGAGACAGCAGTAATTTTTACGACAAGGTCCTGCCGCCATGATGATGGAGCAGCGTCCACTGGCCGTCCCGGTACCAGCACTTCACCGAAAATTCCTCCAACGGCCGTTCGCAGCTGGGCGCTAACCGGCCCGCCCGTGACATGAGACGCAGCCCCGCCCCCACAATGACGAAAGGCCGAACGCCTTTGTCCCAGTCAACCAATTGGAAGCGGGCGATAGGTGGATGGGCGGAGCTTGACCTGGCACGTGTTAGGCAGTGTTTGCGATTGCAACTTGTGCCAGGTGCTAAGACACTCTAAAGCAAAATGTGCATTGAGCTACCACCTTGTTGTTCTAAAATAACAGTGTGGAGCTGGAGAAACACAGCAGGCCAGGCAACATCAGAGGAGCAGGAAAGCTGACGTTTCGTGTCGGGACCCTTCTTCAGAGAAAAAAAGGCTGTGTTCCTCCAGCTCCACACTGTGTTATCTCAGATTCCAGCATCTTACTACCTTGTTGTTCTACTGTGCTATGAGTTAACAATCATAGCCTCCTCTGGGGGTACTGTGCTTTCATCAATCTTCCACTGTTAAAATAAATTTGGATGCATCCCATTCTGAGATGGGAATTGTTCCTAGACCATCTGGCTCAGAGGAGAAGAAACCATTTGACCGGAAAAAAAAACTTCTCAAGACAAGTGAGCTAACCAATTTAAGAACATTAGCACTTGAAGAAGACTAGACAGTCAGTGAAGAGCTGAAATCGATAAGCTTTCAGCAGCATTCTTGGGAGCAGAAATATGCTGAAAGTAGCACTCCAGAAGGAATCTTTCAACTTTGAGATGGTAAGAGGTCCAAGTAAAATATGCTAGCTAGGAAGCAAGTAAAAGCTAGCCACACTTATGTGTTATAAAGCGGACGTTGACCCCACCTCCCGAACTAAAACTGAAACACCCAAAGAGGAGTATCTCACCCTATAATCTGTAAAAGGAGTGCGAAAAGTGGTGTAACCTGCCTTTTCAGCAGCTTCTAGTGGTTAAATAAAATAAATCCCTGACGCTCACTTCAGAATCAACAAGTAACAATTTATTTACCTAACTCTAATAGTGAACAAATTAACTAAACTATTAACCGAACAAATCCCTCATAACTAACGACTCCAGAATAAAACAAGATTCTAATGGTATGCTGTTTCACTAAATACAAGTCCCACTGACATAAAATAAAAGAAATAATCTAGTCTCTTGAAATTACAGCCAGGTTTTGTGCTTTCCGGAATATTCTGTGCCTTATCTGTCGATTCTTCTGTCAGGAATATTAAGTAGTTGTGCCATGGGAACCATTGTTATTTATATGGTGCTTTCTCTATGATATTGAGGAGGCTGTGGGAGCCAGCAGTTCTCTCTTGAGAGCTGAAGGCTGTTAGTTTTGGCAGATGGCAGTTAGCTCTGATGACATATCAATATTTCATACAATAGGATTGGTCCTATGTTGTCAAAACCATCAGATTAAAATTTTATTGGTTTTTGGTGTCTAAGTGCCTGAATCAAATTGATTGGCTAAATTTAAAACTTGATGGCTTAGCAAAAATGGCTGCTTGGCCTGCTAACTGTACAGCCTTTTAATATAAATGTTTCAATTCAGATGCTCGCTGTGTACTTGCAAACTTTAAAGCTGCTGCTCACAGACATCAATTTTAAATCTCTAAGCATAGAAAAAGCTCATCATCTTCTAAAGGGACCACTCAATGCTTTCCTTCGTAGCATTTTATAAACACCAAATTCCAACTTCCTGCCTCCCAGTCCACAAGTACTCTACCCAACTTCGCAACATATGTCAGAAGACACAGAACCCATAGAGAAGAAGGTTCTGTGGGTGCGCTTGGGAGTTCTGCAAATAAAGTTAGAGGTACTTTAGCAACAATGCCCATCACTAATCGCCACATCCTATTGAGCTATAGGTTACCAACCACCAGTAGCTTGTGTTGGGGGTATAGTGCTGCCACCAAGTTTGAAGTCTCAGACTTGTCTTATTATCAGTCGGAGAGGATTAGCCAGAAGATACTTGTGTTACATGACAAGAGGCAGTATATTGATGGTAACAATAGGTACAAATGACCTTGACTAATAAGGCATAATTAGCCAAGACTATCAGGACCCAGGGATGTCTGACGTCATTGGGACCTTATGTAAACTGTCTAATTCTACATCAAAAGACTGTGATGTCACCAGATTGGGTGGTACTTAATGCAGTTTTGGAATGAGCTTTATCTACTTTACAGCTTTGGAGAAGTACATCGACAGCAGCAGTTCAAGAGGAACTCCACTAGGGCAACAAAGCATAGGTAAAATAGTATGAACAGCTTATGCCCCCCAACTCAGCAATATATTTAGTTAAAACAGTGAGAACTGGAACTGCACATAGACTGATTAAGGGTGGCAGGTTCTCTTTCCTGAAAGACATTACTGTATTGGATGTATTGAAATTGTACAGAGTCCATCCTCATGCTGCTAGACTTTTATCAACTAACCTACATAACCATTACCTTGTAAAAGTTTTGTCTGATTTCAGTGCTGTTCAGAAATAATCCAGCAGGGGAAAGAGGGAGGGTTGGAACAATATGCGTTGCTTATGGAACAGGATATTTGATGTTTCCAAGTTAAGCTTTAGCATCACAAAATTTAAAGAAAATGAAGATGCTGGAACACTGAAATGAAAACAGGAAGTCTGGGAAGCATTTACAAGTGTCAGAGGCATCACTTGCGAAGACAGCAACAGAACCAGCTCTATTTCCAGCATTTTCTGTCTTTGTTCCAACTATAGCATGTTGTGAAATTGTGTTTGGTAGATTAGACTTTATAAGCTGGCATATGAATTGAACATGAAAAGGACCAGTAATTGTAGGATAATGGTTCAGTCCCATTATGCTAATGAATAAACTAGATTCCCGGTGACACCTGAGACATCCAGACACACTTGAAATGAGTATTGAGCCAACGTCATTTTTGGAATGCTCTTTTCTGTATAATTCTGTATGTAGGTTAGTTGATAAAAGTTTCGCAGCATGAGGACGGACTCTGTACAATTTCAATACATCCAATACAGTAATGTCTTTCAGGGAAGAGAACCTGCCACCCTTAATCAGTCTATGTGCAGTTCCAGTTCTCACTGTTTTATCTAAATATATTGCTGAGTTGGGGGGCATAACTGTTCATACTATTTTACCTATGCTTTGTTGCCCTAGTGGAGTTCCTCTTGAACTGCTGCTGTCGATGTACTTCTTCGAAGCTGTAAAGTAAATAGCTGCAGGAATTTCACACAGCAGCAAAAAAGAACAGGAGTGCACGCACAAGTCAATAATTAATAGTTAATTCTTAATTTCGTTAGTAGCTGGAGGTGTTGTGTTGTCCACACAAATCATATCATGTTGATAAGAGGGAAAATACACAATCAGTAATCAATTCTCATTATTTGACTTTTATACCTGAGACATTCTTGGACAAAATATTTTTATGAAGGACATGGCTGACCTAAAATGGTTGCTGTGGTCACCTGCCAGTCTCAAGCAACCCAGGTGGAATATCATAGAATTATATAATACAGAGGAGGTGATTCAGCCCATTGAGACTATATTGCCAAAAGTACACTGCTACCGACACTCATCTCACTTTCCTGCTATAGGCCCATAGCCTTGAATGTTATGACATTCCAAGTCCACACCTTTGGTCTTATTTTCCCCTGCTAATCGAAATATCTCCTCCACGTCCGATCTATCCAGGTTTCTCTGTATTCTGTAAGTTTCAGTTAGATCTCCCCTCCTCTTTCTAAACTTCATTGAGTACAGACCCAGAGTCCTCAACTGTCCCTCATAAGATAAGCCCTTCAACCCTGGAATCAATTCTTGTAAACCTCATCTGGACCCCCTCCAAGGACAGCATATCCTTCCTTAGAAAGAAACGGTGCCGAAAACTGCTCACAATATTCCAAATGCGGTGTGAACAGAGCCTTATACAGTCTCAGCAGTAAAAACAGCCGCAGTAGTACAATGAAAACAATGGAGCTAGGTTAGGAATATATAAATAAACCATATTTCAGTAGCTCGTCTTGAATGCCAAAGAGAGACAAAGCAACAAGGAATGACAACAGCCAGGATACTGAAAACTCTTTTATCTCCATTACTCTCAACCTCAAAAACTAGCAGTGGTTTATAATGAAAGAAAATCGGAAAAATGACCATTCCCCAAGAAATCAAGGTTATCTGTGAGCCTCACCATTCCTGAGGAATCAGGACAATAATTAAAGATCTGGGACTAAAATTTCACTCTTGCAACTCAGGAACTGTAAAAACTTTCAACTGCAATTGTTTTTACTTTCCTGTGTAAATAGATATCCCTTTTAAAACTTATTTCCTGTGTTTATATGTGTGCATTTGATTTCCCACTTTTGTCATTTTCTTTAAACTAGTGTGTAACTAAAGTTCTCTTTCACTGAAGAAAACCTTAAAATTGGCTCCCTCACTTTTACTGAGTTAAATATTTTTAGTTGAAGTGTGATAGCTGCATCCTAAAAAAGAGAAAACAACATGTTATGATTGAATGAGAGGGAGTTATAAAGTGTGTGTGTGTGTGTGTGTGTGTGTGTGTGGGTGGTGGGGGCGAGGGGGTGTTCAGTCACCTCTCCTTACCTGTTTGCAACAACAGTAAGTTTTCAGAAGCAGTAAATTGGCAAAGTGACCAGTGGATCTGATTTCAATGGTCATGCCTAAGCATTCCATTGTAATATAGAAGCCTAGAATACAGACTCAAACTTGTAGTGAGATGCAAACCTATCAGATTTGGTAGTAAGATTTGTGCCAACTGAGCCAAGATTAAGCTCTGACCTTTTGGCACAAAATCAAAGGTTGACTGTTGGAAGGTGTCCAAAGGAATATATGTTCGTGTATGCCTTTAGTTTATCCAAATCTTTGCTTAATCCTTAATACTTTAAAAAATACCTCTGCAGTTACATTTTGTGCCACCGTCACCTAATAGTTACATAATAAGGATAAAGATTAATTTGCATGCTGTAAACTTTCGTGTCTTTTCTTAGGTTTGAATTCACTGCCACTCCTAACTATAATTTCATTGCAAATATTTCCTTCATCTGACAAATGTAACTTATTCATATTCA